CATCATCATCATCATCATCATCATCATCATCATCATCATCATCATGATCATCATGATCATCATCATCAGCATCATCAGCAGCAGCATCAGCATCAGCATCAGCATCAGCAGCATTATCAGCATCAGCATCAGCATCATCACCATCATCACCATCATCATCATCAGCAGCATCAGCATTAGCATAAGCATCATCGTCATCATCATCAGCATCATCGTCATCGTCATCATCATCGTCGTCGTCATCGTCATCGTCATCGTCATCATCAGCAGCAGCAGCATCAGCGTCATCGTCATCATCATCATCATCATCATCATCACCAGCAGCAGCCATCATCATCATCATCATCAACATCATCATCAGCATCAGCACCATCAGCATCATCAGCATCATCATAATCAGCATCGTCAGCATCATCATCAGCAGCATCAGCATGTTCAGCATCGCCATCACCATCACCATCACCAACACCATCACCATCATCATCAGACTGATCATCCTCATCCTCATCATCATCCTCATCCGCATATACATCCGCATCCGCACCAGCAAACACATGCTCATCATACTCGCCCGCATTATCATCATTATCACCATCAGTATCAGTATCATCATCAGCGTCGTCCTCATCACCATCAGCAGCAGCCTCATCAGCATCACCATCGGCTTCATAATCATGATTATCATCGTCATCCTTATCAGCAGCAGCAGCATTATCAGCAACATCATCGCCTCAATCCTCATCACAAACATCCTGACCTCCATCCGTATCGCCATCCTCATCCGCATCCGCAAGCTCATCCTCATCCTCATCCTACTCGTGCCTTATGCTACTCCTCACAGTTCTAATGTTCCCGTTACTCCTCCTCCTCCTCCTCCTCCTCCCCCTCCCCCCCTCCTCCACCTCTTCCTCCTCCTCCTCCGCCTCCTCCTCCACCTCCCACACCTCCTCCTCCTCATCATCCTCCTCCTCCTCCGACTCCTCCTCCACCTCATCCTCCTCCTCCTACTCCTCCTCTCCCTCCTACACTTCCTCCTCTCCCTCCTCGTCAGCATCTTCCCCCTCCTCCTCCTCCTCCTCCTACTCCTCCTCCTCCTCTGCCTTCTCCTCATCCTCCTCATCATCGTGCTCCTCCTCTCCCCCTCTCCTCCTCCTCCTCCTCCTCCTCCTCTTCCTCCCTCTCCACCTCCTCCTCCTCCTCATCATCATCCTCCTCCTCCTCCGCCTCCTCCCACACCTCATCCTCCTACTCCTCCTACTCCTCCTCTTCCTCCTACACTTCCTCTTCCTCCTCGTCAGTATCTGCCTCCTCCTCCTCCTCCTACCTCCTCCTCCTCCTCGTCAGTATCTTCCTCCTCCTCTGCCTTCTCCTCCTGATCCTCCGCATCGTGGTCATCCTCCTCCTCCCTCCTCCTCCTCCCTCCTCCTCCTCCTCCTCCTCCTCTCCTCCCTCTCCTTCTCCTCCTCTCCTCCTCCTCCTCTCCTCCTCCTCTCCTCCTCCTCCTCCTCCTCCTCCTCCTCCTCCTCCTCCTACTCCTCATCCTCCTCTTCTTCCTCCTCATCCTCCTCAGCATCCTCCACATCATCCCCATCCTCGACAACAGTCGGATCCTCCGCATCCTCCTCCTCCTGCCCATCCTCCTCCTCCTCCTCCTCCTCCTCCTCCTCCTCATCCTCATTCTCATCCTCCTTCGCCTCTTGCCCCTCTTCAGTTATCATCCGCCTCCTCCTCATCTTCCTCCTCATCATAATCATCGTCAGCATCATCGTCAGCATCATCATCAACATCATCATAATCATCATCATCATCATCAGCAGCATCATCATCACCATCATCATCAGCATCATCATCATCATCATCATCAGCATCATCATCATCATCATCGTCATCGTCATCATACTCATCCTCATCCTCATCATCAGCAGCATCGGCATCATCAGCATCATCATCATTATCATCATCATCATCAGCATTATCAGCATCATCAGCCTCATCATAATCATCATCAGCATCATCATCATCATCAGCATCATCAGCATCGTCATCGTCATCGTCATCGTCATCATCATCAGCATCGTCATCATCATCATCAGCAGCATCATCAGCATCATCATCAGCATCATCAGCAACATCATCATCATCACCATCATCATCATCAGCAGCATCATCGACAGCAGCATCATCATCATCAGCATCATCATCAGCAGCAGTATCAACATCAGCATGATCATCATCATCAACAACAACGTCATCATCATCAGCATCAGCATCATCATCAGCATCAGCATCATCAGCATCATCATCATCATACTCGGCATCAGCATCATCATCATCAGCATCATCATCAACATCATCACCAACATCATCAAAACCAGCGTCGTCACCCTCATGATCAGCATCCGCATAGTCATCATAAACAACCTCAGCATTAGCATCATCATTATCAGCATCAGAACCATCTATCAGCATCATCATCACAAGCATGATCATCATAAGCATCTGCTGATCATCCTCATCATCATCATCAGCGTCATCATCAGCATCAGCATCATCATCATCAGCATCAGCATCATCATCATCATCATCAGCATCATCATCAGCAGCAGCATCATCTGCATCCCATCCTCTTCCTACTCCTCCTCCTCCTACTCCTCCTCGCTGTCGTCCGCGTCCTCGTCCTCCTGTCCTCCTGTCCTCCTCCTCCTCCTCCTCCTCCTCCTCCTCCTCCTCCTCCTCCTCCTCCTCCTCCTCCCCCTCCCCCCCCCATCCTCCTCCTCATCCAACTCCTCCTCCTCCTCCTCCTCCTCGTCCGCCTCCTCCTCATCCTCCTCCTCCTCCTCCTCCTCCCTCCTCATCTTCCTCCTCCTCTCCTCCTCCTCCTCCGCATCATCATCATCATCATCATCATCATCATCATCATCATCATCATCATC